ACGCGAGAGGAGTTCGAGAAGGCAGGCGCCGCCAGCGGCCGCCATGGCTTTCATGGCTTTCTGTTTGCGCCGTGTGTCGCGAATTCGCGCTTTGCGACCTTGCGATGTTGCAGCTGGAAGAGACTCCATGAAGAAGGATTGTTTTGTACAACCACACATCTAGCAGCATCTACTCGTACTCGTAGCATGTTCTGGAGCTCTAGGATTCTAGTCAACTTGTAGTTTGAACTGTGCAGCCGAATACACGCTATGGAGACTGGTGAAGCGGCACAGATGCTTATCCCGAACTTATGCTTCCGGGATGTGTTTTTGGCATTTCGAAAAGCCGAGCTGAGCGAGTACCCGAGCAAGGAAGCGGCCCAAGGGGTCGACGACGGTGCTCCTGGGATCCTCCAGCAAGTGGCGCAGAGCGATCTTCGCGCGCTGCACTCGTCATCACTCGTCCCAGTCACTGAGATAAACTTTGCTGTACCGATGTTCCAATTCGAGGCAGCACTTTCCGGAATGTGGGTCAGACTACCTCAGTCCAGACATCGATGAAAAGGCTTGGTTCTAACTAGCCGGTTCTCTTGAAGGCCGAATAATTGCCCTTGAAGGCTATTCGAGCTGAGAAGCCGGAGGAGATGTGCCTGGCCATCGCCAGGGCGAAGGCGCTAGGGCCGCTCGGGAAGTGAAGTGTACGTGACTCAGGCTGGTAGCAGTGTTTTGACAGGCCGACGCCCTCGCTCCGAAAGTAAAGGACAGAGACGTCTTGCTGGTTTGCATGGACCAGGCATCACCGGATGCAGCGGGGGAAAGACTTTGAGTCTTTGAGTCGTGATTGGAAGCACATTGACCGTTGGAAGGGGCAGTTGCGAGGTGGTGAGTTGCGACGGGCAGATAAGAGAAAAGCCGGAAACTGAAGCAGAGGCGGCTGTGGAGCACACGTGTTTTCGCGGCAAGCGCCAAAGTCCACGGCATTGAAAAGCTTCAGGCGCGGCAGTTCCTGGAGTCCTACAGGTTCCGCAGTGTAAAGGGGTCTTTGCCGTGGCATTGACCGGGATTCTTTGGTCCCAGGCAAGGCAAGCATGCCAGCTTCATTAACGGAATGGTTGTCATGAATGCATCAACTGGCAGGCCCCCGTGATTTGTGCCATTCGTGCATTCGTGCTGTCGTGCAACTGTTGTCGACAGGTGCGCCTCATCCTTAAACTCATCAAAGGCATTCTGGAAAATCTTTCCGGATGAGGCACAACATCGAGTGCTTGGATGTGTGCAACATGGAGTTTTGTGCTCGAGGAAGGATTCTCGACCTGGACTTTGGAAGTGCGATGCCGGCTTTCCCATGTGCAGGTCGTAGATGCCTTGATCAAGAAGGGCGACTTGTTCACGTGCGCTGGCGGAGTCGTGGTTGGGCCCCCATGGTTCCCAGCTGCAGGTTTCCCACATGTCGCTCACCAGATGGCAGTGAGTCGTGCCAGGTTGAGGATGAGCTGCTTCAACCTTACCTACGTTGTATAGAGGCCCTTCCCGCTGCTGTGGTGCCAGGTAGCCTTGAGAATCGTTGCCAGGGAACGGAAGACTCCGTGCAGGGCCTTCCTCTGAAGCCGCTGCGCATGCTGCTGGCACGTGCTCAAGCTCCGGCATCGGCCTCTGGTGCTGCATGCTGCATCTACTGCACTGTTGCTGCACGTACTGCACTGTCAGCTTGTTGCCAGCTCATGCAAGGGCTAAAGCATCGAAATTTGCAGCTCAGGCTGTGACACACGTCATCTTTGACATGGATGGGTTGCTCCTGGACACGGAAAGCCAGCGCCTTTTCCATCGGCACACGCTGAAGCCGCAGCGAACCTTTGTCAGGCTCTTACAGCGTAGCTCAGCAGGAAATCCTTGACAGGTGGAATAGGTGCGGCCTCAGCTCCAGTCCCGGTGCGAAGCTGCTGGTTGAAAATCGTGGGGAGTTGGCAGGAAGTTCACGTGGGACCTGAAGGCCAAAATGATGGGCAAGAAGGCTTGGGTACAGTGGTGCCTACGGGTTTGGGTTTGTTACTTTCGGAATGGGGTCGCGCCAGATCCACGAATGTGGACAGCTCTTTGGGAGAACGCCTAATGGGACCTTGCGGTATGCGATGTGACAGCAGTCCCGGGAAGCTTGTGGCTCACAGCTGAGAGCAAGACTGGACAAGCTATCGCCAATAATTGTCGCACGCGGAAATGCAATAAACCCTCATCCTGGCAACATAGACTCTAGGCGTAGTGACGTAGTCTTTCGGAATCCTAAATATATTCACAAGTACAGTCCTACAGCAGGTAGAGCGGATACTCAGCCGACTTAGCCTTGCCAGGGTGACCGGAAGCCAGGCCCATGGTGTCGCACAAGACGGCCGCCCGCCCCCTTTTTTTCGCTTCTCTTGCTCAGGCCAAGGCCATGGAAAGCGGCTTCGAGCTGGCGAACCACCAGGTCACCGAGTCACCATTCGAATCCTGGCCTTTGCATCAATGACGAAATTCTGGCAGGTGGCTGGGCTGGTATTTCTTGTGCCACTTCTAGTTGCTCTAGCGTTCTATGTCCGGAGGCGTGGGCGCACCTTGGGCACGCGTTTTGCGGTGTAAAGCTCGTGGACATGTCTGTATGTTTGCAGATCACTTCCGGGCAAGCTGAAGAACCGAGGGAGCTTTGAACATGAGGCAGGAGAAGTGTTGCAATCCTGCAGATCCTGCTGCTTGAAAGAGCTGCAGCACTTGTCTCTCTGCCCACTTTTCACTGCGATCACTGAAGTCCATGGTGGCATCCCCTACAGGATCCTGCAAACGCACAGTCCATGTCAGAGCGGCGGCGTGACTTCTGCCGCATTGTTGCAACAAAAAGAGTGCTTTGCCTGCAATTGGGAACTCGTCCTTTTTTTTAAGCGCCTTGCTCCATGGGGGCAGAGACTCAAGTCTCGAGGCATGGGCACCCTTTTTGGATGACAGGGGCCAGAAACGTCGGGGTCAAGAAGCGCAGGTAAACACCTTGACCAAGGGGACACGCCTCTGCACACTGGCAGCAGCTTTTCTAGAGAGTGTCGTGCATCTGCCGCTAAGAAGGCGGCTGCCATGTCAGGTCAATTGTGTTTGGCAGTTTCCTCCAGCCGGAAGGTGTTCAGAAGGGCTCGTGCTCAAGAAATGGCGATTGGCAAGTATCACATCCGTTTCTAGAATGTGAACTGTTTCACTCGTGACGACTTCCCGCCTAAGCTCATCGGTCCGACTGTCATTTTGCATGTCACTGCACCGGAACTCTCCTCTGAAATCAGCTACTCCTTGCAGAAGACGCAAGCTTCACCCCAGGCCAGCTTATTGATGCGAAGGTTTGCTCCTTTCGGGCTTCGCCTGAGGACCTTTGGGTCTTCACGGTGGAGGAGCGCCAAGCAGGTCGATTCCTCCCAATCGATTTTCCGCCGGGCATGAGCCCAGAGACTGGCGACCCAGCTGCGGAGAAGGCGGAGAAGGGCTTTCAGAGCACTTCGGAGCCTGTGACCTGCGGTGAAATTCTGTTCAGCATGGCTTGCCAGGTCTGCTATCAGAAGCTCAAATGGCATCGGCCTGAACACCCTCTGCAGGGTATGCATGAGAAAGAGGGAGTTGCGGCTTGCGGCTTGTCAGCGGGGTGCGTCTCATCGTCTTGAGCAGCTCAGACTGAGCAATTCAGGTGGTTGCAGCAAGAACTGGGGCGCATCCCTGGTGCAATCGATCTTGGAATGACATCGCAGTGGGCGGTGGTGGATCGAATCATGTATTTCATCAGTGCCAGCCCCGGCTTTGACTTTGTGATGCAACACAAAGTCCCCCCCCGGATTCTGCAGCCGAAGTACCTTGTGCTCATTTCGAAGGCGAGGCAAGAGAACACATGTTTACATGCATGCGTCGTCTCACTCTTGCGTGGTCGTAGAGCAATGCTTGTGCAGGGTGGACAAGTTCGAGTTGCGTGGTTTGCGTTCGTGAGCAACAATCCAGAGCCGGGTGCCACTTCTGGGCCATTCGTAGTGAAGCTTGTGAGCGAAGACCTTCGGTCCGCTGACAGAGATGCAAGAACATTTTCCAAGTTTTCATACACAGCAGCAGCTGCGCAGAGTGCAGACATGGAAAAAATAATTTCAGGCATGGTGCCCCAGATACTGCAAGGTATTGATTCAGACAGATGGAATGCCTTCGAAAAAGCCTAGGCCTAGGCGGCCTAGGTCCACTTGATGCAACTCGAAATGGAGGTTGCCACAAGTGCTTGCCGAGAGATTTCAGGCATTCCCAGAAGCCATGCCCGTGCAGGGCAGACATCTCGCCATGCGAACATGCATGTGGCGAAAAGGACGCTGCAATTCTGTGTTTGTGTTCATTAGTGCAGAGTCTCCTCTCGAAGGTTGCCTGCTTCTGCATCCGCTCGCAGGCACTTGATGCTTGCCAGATTTGCATTGACGAGCTGGAGCGGGTGCTATCGCTGTGCCAGTTTTCCAGATTTCCAAGTCCGTGGAAGACGCGAGGAGCTGTCGGATCTGGTCTCGGCCGAAGACTTTCTCGCAGAGCGAGAGAGGAGGCGGACGTGGGTCACGCGGACGCCGACACGGGACTACGCAGGGACGTTTGGCGACTGCCAGGCTGGAGGTCCTTTTCGCAAAAGCGGCCCTCATGCCTGGAGTTGAGCGACTGGTGCGACACCTTCACAGGCCGAAGCGCGCACGCCTCACTGCCACCGTGCTCCAGTCTTTTTTCGCAGGAGCGGCGTACCGATGGCCGTGGCAACGTCCTCCCATCGTCGCCACTATGATCTGAAGACCAGTCTACATAGAGAACTCTTTGGTCTCATGCATCACGTTGTGACGGGGGACCAGGCAGGACATGTCAGCACTGCAAGTCGGCAAGACCCTTTGCCTTGGGCTTCCTTTGAGACTCCGGCAGGTCAGCAAATCCAAGCCGGATCCGCAAATTTTTAACCATGCTGCCAGCCTTTTCGATGGGATGCCAGCAACTGATACAATCCTCGTCTTCGAGGTGCCTTCGGTGCCTTGTAGTCCGCGACGGCGGTAAGAATGCATGTGAGGACGCCCCGAGCGGTGTAGAGGCAGGTCTTGCTGCAGGGATGCAGGCCCCATTGCCCCTCTCGCAGCCTGTACCTTCAACTGCTGCACACCGAGCCAGGTCTGTCACGTTCCAGACATCAACCTTTCTCGCGACTTGTGTGGACAAGCTCATTGCGAGCTCCTCTCTTTAGAGGAGACTGGTAGGAGCCCGGAAGCAGTCTTCAAGTGCTAACTTCAGCATGAGGACTTTCGCCCAGAAGAATGGGGCCTGCCTTCATTCTGATGTGATGCTTGCAAGCGCGGGGGTGAAAATAGAGATGCTGGTGAGTTCTTGCCGTGGTGATGTCTGACTTCCTCTAGCGAACAACTTTCGTGAGATGGCAGTCCTGCTTGCTTGTTACTGCAGGCCATCAATCAGGGAATCGTCAGCTGAGTCTTCGCTTCGTTCTGACCTCTGATCAGTGTTCGGTCACTGGTTCGACATCCAAGTTTCACGGTCCTGCGAATTGCCAGCGAGCCATTCAGCAACTCTTCGATGAGCGCGAGGAACTGCGCAGCAGCGCCAAGCGTTGGGCAAAGATCTCCTGTCGATTTGCCGTGACATTGTTCATAGAAACCATGCTGGAAAGACAGCAGGCAATCGATTTGAATAATCGCCACGTTGGGAAAGCCGCCGACGCACTGAAAGCTGAAGCGTCCGTGTGAACGTAAGCAGCATGTGGCGGATGCTGGTTGCCTGATTCTCGCATGCAGCCGTTCATGCTCTGGCCAGCAACGCTCAATGTTTGCATGAACAGGGTGTGATTTCTTGGTCAAACGTTTTGAAGCCTCGTCAGCTAAGGAGATTGTTGGAAAAGCTGGAGGAGGATAGGTTCATAGGTTCTCCTGGACTAGGCCTAGGCCAAGCAAGAGGCACCAAGGGACGTCAAGTCCGCAAGGGCTGCTTGTGCCATCGACCGGTGTCCCATATCGCTTTGAGCCCGATGTTGGCACTGCCAGCTCCGGGGATCGGAGATGATGTCTCCAAGCAAGACAGAGTCACATTTCCCCGCTGTGCTTTGGGTCTCCAGTGGCTGAACGCAACTGAGGTGGCGCAGGTTCTTTGTGGCATCCTGCTGCGGTCGCCGATGCCTCAGTCGAAAGTAGAGGATCTCACTTGCAGCAGACATGGCAGTTTTAGCTTAGCCTGGGTAGCTTAGGCGAAGACTAGAGCCGGCGGGCCATGCCTTTCATGCAATCCACGAGAAGCACAAGATCAAGGCTCCTGCGGCTATGAAATCTCGGGATGGGCAGACTTTGTGTGGCGACTTTGCGATGCCATGACAGGGGCCCAAGCAGCGTGAGAATCGACAGAAGGCCAGGCAATGCCAGGAAAGAAAACCGAATCTCATTCAACTCTCACGAGGACGCTCTCAGCGACGAAGAATCACCTCCGCCGGATTCCTGGAGGAGCGCTTGCTTATGTGGCGAGGTGGCTGTATGTGGTTGGTCTACCAAGCTGGACTTGACAGGAAGAAGAAGAAAGAGGGCAGCGGACGAACGGGTGCGTTAAGGCTGAGCCCTCTGCTGACTGGCGATGAGCTTAGTTTCGTGGAGGATATTGTGTGTTTCTTGCGGAGCCCATGCCTTGAAAGTTCAATTGGCCCCATTGCACTCCAAAGGTGAGAACTTGTACACGTTGCTGGAAGTTAGCGAGGCAGCCTCTGTGGAGGCTTCGTGTTGCCACGGCGCAGAGCCGACTCGAGCGCTCGCACCCTGTGCAGCAAATCAAGAAGCAATACCGCAAGCTGGCTCTTCAACATCACCCTGACAAGCAAGGCAGGTGTCCCTTGAATGTTTGGTTCGTTCAACAAGTCCTGAACCAGGGGATACCGAAGAGAAAGGAAGCGGTTTGAGTGAGAAGGAGCGAGCACACACACACACACACAGCGGCTGGTCGCATCGCTCAGTTGTCGGTCCTCTAGGACCAGCACTTCATCAAGATACAGGAGGCGTATGAGGCCGCAAATCAGCATCCCGGAGCATCGTACCGTGGCTTCAGTCAGTTCAGGATTTTCGCACGGCCCACGGCTCTGCACAGGTTCTATCGGACCAGGCGAAGCGGCGGCAGTGACCTTCTTGCTGCCAGGCGGGCCCCGCGCCAAGATGTGCCATGCAGGTACGACTCAACACTTGACTTCGACGATGCGATTCCGGAGGAGGTCCGAACTACTGAACCCTTTGGCATCGACATATGATCCTCTCCACAGTCACCTTTTGGGAGAAGACGGGAAGACGGGATGTGTTGCAGCGCAGGTCTCTGAGTCGGGCGGTTTCTTTGACACCTTTGGGCCGGTCTTCAGACGAAATGCACGCTGGAGCACGAGGCCTTCGAGGCCCTGCCTTCGGCTTTCTTGAAAGTCATCTTCGGAGGTTTCCTGTGCCCGAAATCGGTGACGAGAACACGGACATGGTAAAGGTTCACAAGGCTTTTGCATGCTTTTGCATGCGTCATCCCTGCACCGCAGGCGACTGTTGACACTCCAAGCCTCCTCAATCACCTTACGTTTGTCTGTCCGCAAGCATCTTGATCGAAACGAAACGAATCTCACGATTCGGGGTGGCTTGTGTGACGGTGCAACTCTGCCAAACGAAGCCATCGAAGCGACCGAGTATGCTTTAAAGATACAATACATGGTTACGTGTGTCATACTGACAGAGCTGCATGAGCAAGTGCCCTCGGGATCGTGGGCTCCGTCGGGTCATTGCAAGTAGCCACCCTTTCGCATCAGTTCTATGACTTCTGGCTATCCTTCGACTCCTGGAGAGATTTCTCCATGCACGATGAGTGTCCCTGCACTTCACGACGAGCAGAGCTACCCTTATACCTTCAGTATGAGAGGTACAATCTCGATGATGCAGAATTCCGCGAGGAGCGGAGAGCCGTCAGCGACGGCCGCCAGGAGAAGCCCTTACTCCTTAGTCTCTCCGTGCCAGGAACGGCGGTGGATGGAACGACAGAATCAACGACTTCGCAAGAAGTGACTCCGGCCTCCGCAGTTTTCACATTCTACGACAAGTACACAGGTACCTTGAGGCTGAGAGGAAGAGAATTATGAGACTTGTCGAGACGGCGAGGAGCCTAGAAGGGTCACGGCTTCATCATTGTCTTTTCAACTTGCCTTTGCGGACACAGTACATTTCAGTGTTGGGCTTGGTTGGATTCTGGCACCCTCACACTGGCCTTCAGCCGGAGAGCTGAGTGCTTGCTTGGGGGTGCATCCGAAACGGTCACTTGCGACATGGCTGCTGACTGAAGGCAGAAAGACTAGATCCTCGAATACGGGCTGAAAGAGAGGTCCACGCACTTCCGCCGGCTTTCCCTGTCGTGTTTCGGCAATGTCTTGTGAGGCTCGTGAGAAGAAGAAGCGTGAGGAGAAGGCTCGGGGGGAGGAAGGGGCGAAGGGGCCCGGAATTCGGGCGTGGATCCGAGATTCAATGCTTTTTCACAGGCTGCGCTAGGGCGCAGAGCGGTCGCACAGCCTTCGTCATGTGCCCTACGAAGTCCCCAGATTCACCAGCTTAGGACCGGAGGAAGCCATGCCTGTCCCGAATCGCGATGCGAGACTTGAAGCGTCGTCTCCTTGCATTCAGGCTAAGGACTGTAAGCTGAACCCTGCGACTGCAAACCATGAAGAACCATGCAGACCGAAGCATAGGGTGTGCATACACTGACCTGAACTCACTCCACAATAGTCCCTGATTGCTGTTTGCAATTGCATGGGCCGGGGCGATTGCTCAGCCGGTTTACAGAGCAGTTTTGAGGAGAAGAGAGCGCGAGCGAAGCAGGAGGAGCAGGAAGCAAAGCAAAGAGAGGAGGAGGAGCCGCTCGTCCGTTGTCTTTTGTATTCCCTATGGAAAAGTCCTGCTGCTACGTGAGGAAAAGAAGCGAAAGGCAGAACAGGAAGAAGCCGAGAGGGTGGAGAAGGCCGGGGCTGAACAGTCGAATTTGACGACATGCACAGTGTGTGCCGATGGACACCGTTGCCCAGGAGCGCGTGTTGCGCGAGCAGCGGAAGCAGAACAAGCAGGTGCCGTCAGAAGCAAGATGAAGCAACGCAGTCTTGTCAGTCGTGCCGACACGCATGCGAGGTGGCCAAGACCTTGAGGCAGCGCTTCAAAAAGATTGTGCAGGGGAAGTGCACTCTGCAGCAGTTGGAGATCGAGGAGTGATTGGTGTGGATGGCTGTGAGTGCGAGTTGTGGGAGTTGTTACCGTCTTGTCTTCTGTATGTGAGTCGCTTTTGATATTGGCCAATGCCGCAACTACAAGTATTACAAGATAGGGATGGCCAAGCTGAAGATGACATGACTGGCCTTGGCCTTCAGGGCTTGGCTCTTGCAGGTTCGGGATCCGTTGCAAGCATGTCGCGTGTTTACTTGAGCTGGAGCTGATCTTCTGCGCAGGAGCTTCAAGACTTCTGTCTCCTGATGGATGCGGAGAAACTGGAAGACCTGTGCATTCATCTTGAGGCCGTCCTGCCGTGAGAGTGGCAAGTCGTTTGAAAACAGCGGCTTGCAGGGAATAGCGGATGTCAAAGAGTCGGAGGCCTTCGTTCGCTCGGAGCTTTGTGAGGCAGGCCGCGAGCTGTTGCCACTTGCTGCTTCTGTCAATCAGTTGCGCATTTCTGACACACCAGTCCCCGTGCATTTGGCAAACTAAGAGGTCGTCGGTAACCCCACATAACATTCGTCTGCTATTGATCAACACATTGCGCACCTCCCAGGTCAGACTTTGCAGAACTCTATCTATCTTCCCATCAAGTTGACTGCCATTGAAGTGCCGAGCCCTTGACGATAGACGCCCGATAGTACGATCAAGCAGCCCCTGTCCTCAGCAGCAGCGACTCGAAATAGTTAGGCTGGCATTGAATTGTGGCATTGGTTTAGCAGATTATGCTACTGATTCGCAGACTGGACTTGACACACTGGTCACTAGGCCGGAAGACGGTATACGGCACCCATACATGCCAAGCCAGCTAAGCCAGCCAATTTTAGCCAGCTAAGTTCAGCTGCCGCGCAAAGACAGAAGACGGCGTGGGCATAGGTTCAACGGACTCGAGGTCGAAGCAATGGGGCTCGCCATCACAAGCGTCCGAGTCAACAGCTGTTTGTGCCCTCACAAGTGGCACTGCAAAGGCATGCTTTCACTTGGCGATGCAGCTGCAGCGAACTTATGCTCTCCACTTGTGCTACGGGAACTCTGGTGAACTACACCATGCTCTTTTTTCGTTCAGCCCAGAGAATCAACAAGAAAACTTCGTCCGACCAGAGCCATTTCAGCAAAACTTGACCAGGACCACTCCCCTGCTTCTGCTGCTCCTGCTGCTGCTGCTGTCGCTACTGCTGCAATTCACTGCTGCTGCCATTGGAGCATTGCCGGTTGCAAAGTTCCATCCCCGAATGGGGAAGCCACCGAGACAGTGAAGGCAAGCGGAGCCCATACCGTGATAACAGCCGCAGCGTCCAAGATCACTTGCCAATTCAGTTGGGCAGTGGTTCCTACAAAGCTGGGACAAATCAGAGATTGCTGCGGATGAGATCAAGCTAACGACCTGTTCGCGTGCAAGTCTGTGTAAACAATGCGACGGCCGGGCGGCCGCGAGGATGGCACGGCTATTTTTGGGAACACAGCCGCGTCTTGCGAGATTGCCCTGCGTTGCAGAGTCTGCAAGAACCGTCGCGTCGTTCCAGGGGGCTTTGGCAGTCGTGTGCTGTTGGTGTTTGCCTCAGACTCCTTACCTGGGGTAAAAGGCAGTAGGTTCTCGTCGATTTGTTTGGTCGGGTACGCTTGCAATCGACACGGATGAGTTTGCAAACAGCGCCCATGCCGCCAACAAAGCGTTGCTCGCCTCAAGCACACCTTTCTCATCCTGCTCTGGACTCTAGTCACAGTGGTTTCCACCAGTTTATCAAACACGGGAGGAGTTTCAGACCTTGCAAATCCTTGCAACCTCAGGCACGAAAGCGACGCACAGACGAGGAGCGGCAGCGACGGGAGAGGCAGAAGATGCCAGCGCCTAGCACCGGCCAGGCTCTTGGCAGACTGGGCCCTCTCTTGACCAGGCAGAAGCTCGAAGCAAAGAAGCGCGAGGAAGAGAAGGCCACAGAATCAAAGGACATTGGCTCTGGTTAGCTTCCTTTACCGCGGGGTTGTTGATTTCTATGTCACAGCGCTCGAAAGGAGGCGGCCCCGTGGGCTGCAGACGAACTAGGTCTTCTAGCAAAAGGGCTGCAAAAGCACGGAGCCGAAGCGATGGCGTCCGGCTATCGCAGCTATCGCGGCTATCGCACCACTCAGGTTTCCAGGCGGAATGGGTGGGCGCTGGAGCTTGATCACGCCGCACGCTAAGTTTCTCGATGTCTCACGCGCAGCGCATTTCTGCAGTTTGTTTTATTGGATAGTTGGTGCCGCGGTATGCTGCAAAGATGCAGGAAGATGCTGAACGACAGCGGCTACCCTCGAGCGGAGAAAGAAGTGGTCGAGAAGACCAAGGACGGGGCCCGGGGCAGACCCAGAGAGCCCTGTCCGAATGTCCTTGCCCTCGCCAGGAGCTCTCTGAGGGCCAGTCGCTCCGCTCCATGGGCTCCAAACTCGCCAGCGACTTCCAGGCGCCCAAGGCCAAAGCCAAGCCCAAGGTGCGGACGCTGAGCGAGCCTTCTTCCTGCGATTTTGCGAAATCTTGCAGATCCTTGTGCAGGCTGCACCACTCCAGGCCAGCAAGCAACAGGGTAAGCCCAGCAAACCTTGCGCGACAGACAGCCTTGCTACTTTCAGGCGGAAGCGGAAGATTCCAAAACTGCTGCACGTTCTGCAACATCCGCAGAGAAGTCTGAACCGTCAAAGGCCCGTGGCTAACATGGTATGCAAGTTCGCTACCAGCATCCCACCCAGGATGTGGAATGGACAGCAGAGCAACAGCAGGCACTTGAGAAGGCACTGCAAAGGCCGTAGAGGGGGGTTTGGAAATTTCTGGGTATCGCCTTCCCCATTCCTTCCCTTTGAGGCACCCAGCAAGCTTGGACAAGAACGAGCGCTGGAAGCTCATTGCGGCTGAGGCAAGGGCTCCCCATCCACAGGACTTTATAGTGAAGGTGACAGGCTGGCTACTTGTACATGAAGCGCAGCTTCTTGCAACAAGAAACCTTCCTTGGGGTGTCGACTGCGGACTGTAACATCGTCAGCGCTGCAGGGCCTCGGCCGGTTGACTTGTCATGTCGCAGGTCCCGGGCAAAACAAAAGCCCAATGCGTGGAGCGGTTCAAGTTCTTACGAGAGCAGCTCAGCAAGGCCTGCGGCTGAGCTGCGACATGCTGTCGGCACTGAGCTTGCAGAGTCTGCGAGGCCAAAAACTGAGCGATCTTCGCAGCGCTTTCATCGAGGGGGACTTCATGAAGCAGACCAGCTGACAGATGTGGAGGTCGACGGGAGATCAACGACATGACAGTCAGAAGTTGGAAGCTGGAATCGGACATGCTGTTGTGGTCCGACGGCCGACGGGCTACATCAAGTCATCCTGGGTTTCCGAGCAGCAACGATGCCGTAGGCTCGCAAGAGCCTCGAGAGACACCACGGTGCCAGTGCGGGCGGAAGAAGTTGCTTTGACAGGACTCATTTCGCAGCACGTGTTTTTGCTGGCCTGACAAGTCGCAGTGCATTCTGCTGTGCCGCTTTGCTCGGCTCGATAATTGGGCGAGGGAGGGGAGCCACTGAGATATGTGCATGATCAGTTGCTTCAAGAACCCAGCCAAGACGCGCTAGGCTTATGTGATTCGGAAAGCTGGCTTCGGTGAATGAGATGAGTAGGTTTTTTTTTGCCGCAGCCTGCATATGGGGTGGTGGTGCCAGATATATCTTCGCTGTGCGCTGCATGAACTAGTACGGAGGATGCGTGTAGCAGCCCAAGCGGCCCTCCAGCCAACATGAAGAGCTGGGCAGTGCGACAACTAGCTTCGGCATTGCCTGCGACCGAGACGGAGTGACAGCACAACATCCTGCGCAGACCGAGACATGGCAGATGGTTGTCCTGCAGGTCTGACTACGTCGACGGCATTTCGCCAGAGACAGTGCAAGCTAGTCTCGGCCGGGATATCGGCATTCTGGAGCTAAGCGGAGCAAGGGTGAGTGCACAGGTGGCCACAGTGCGCTGAGTAGCTGGAGAAATAATGGACATATATGGACCTTGAAGCTTGCCTGGAGAGCTCAAGACAGGCCGTCGAGAAGTATGGGCTTGAGCTGCTCAATAGCGAGCTAAGTGTGGATGCCTGGAGGCTACAAGTTGTGATTCTGATGTTCCGACAGTCGGGCCGCTGTCGGAGGCCAGAGTACCGTGGCGTCACTTGAGCTCGCAACCCACCACGCTTTCTGTGCGTTCTGTGCGCTTGGAGCTTCGCTTGCGTTCCAAGCAGCTGCATGGCCTGCCAAAATCCAGAGCTTGCTTCTTGAAAAACAGCACCCATCCTCAGTGTTTGAGCATCTTCGTTAGTTGTGGACTTTTGCGTTCCAGGTTGGAGCTTCCAGCAGGGTCATAGGATGTCAGAGGCTTCATCCGAACCCGAAGTTGACACGGGGTCCACCGCAGCATCAGCTGACCTTGCCACTGAGAACTCTTAGGCGACCGTCGCGGAGCTAGACATGCGTTTGCTGATGTTAGTTGCGGTGCCCCTAAGCATGTTTCGCCAGTATCACCTTTTCCTGACAACAAGAGCTGTCCTTGCATTCTACGTGTCCGAGTCCGTAGTTGGACAGCTGTGGGTGCTGGCGACCACTAAGGGTGCCAATGCATGGACAGCCTCAAGAGATCAAAGAGGCAGAGGCATCCGCACCGCTGCATTCTATCATTTCGCTTCTGCTGATGCCGGCGAGCTGACAAGCTCCCAAACTGTGCTTTTTGTTCCCCAGGTCAAGAAGTGCGAGGAGCAGATGCTGACTGAAGCGAGCTCTGTGCTGGGCTCATCATGGCTCATCCGATGCAGGCTGTTCCGGATGGCATGTGCATGCGATGCGTGCCTATGAAGTCGGGTCACAAAGGTCCAGGGCAGCTCCTCGGGCTTTATGCTTGGTCGAGTTGCGCGCGTCTCGCATGCGATTTTGCGACAACTGCGGGTGACCTTGGGCAAGCTGGAGGCGTGCACCATGTACACGCGAGGCATTCTTCTAGTTTTCCTTGACTTCTTGCAGAATCTTGCATGTTCAGGCACACGTCCATCACGAACTTCCTGAAAAGGCTCCTTTGTTTGAAGGCTTCCAGTGCGGTCCTGTGCCCTGTCAGCGAGAAGCCACTGCGCCAAACAAGGCTCTTCTGACACTCTTGTTGGGTGAGTCGCGACTGGAAAGCGTCGGCAACGACTGGACAAGCCTGCCGCTTTTGGAGGAGCCTGACCTGCGCAAGGCTCGTCAGTAAAGTTGCGGAAGATTTTCCAGAGGGTTGATGGTGCTTATTTGCTTAGCCTCTGCAGTCGGAGCCCATGAGCGTGATCAGATCACGCTTGCCGTTGGAGGTGCTGAGCTTTTCCGGCTTCGAAGTGCGTCTGGGAGGTGGGGTTTTGTCAGCTCGCATTGAATGGTTGGATCATAAGAGCCCTCGCCTGTGCTTGCACTGATCTGCTGATCTGCCTGGGCCGTGATTGACATCAGTCACCCGGCTTATACCCTCAAAGGCAAACTTGCGGGATCTCGTAAACCCGCAAGCCGCAAACCTGATCTTCACAAGTCAGCCAGTATCGCTGACAGAACCATGCGGTGTGCCATGCATCGCAGTGTAGATATTGGAGCGAGCCCCAAATATCTGCAGCCAAGCCATGTCTGGTGGACTTATCATGCTGTTCCTTGTCAAGGATGATGCTGGTCCGAGCATGTCCCAGCATCGGTTTTGAGAGGTCCTCGTGGGATCTGACATACCCATCCGATCCAGCTTTTTCTATGGGCTGCTGCATGTTGAGAATCCAGTGCGCTGAGTGTTGCAAAAGTCGTGCAGGTCGGGAACTCTTTGGCCCGCTTTCCCTACAAGCGAAGCTGCTGCACTCCCCAGAGCAGGCCCTTGCAAAGCTTTGGCTGGAGCTTCCGCAGGAGCCGGCATAGAGTCAGGTAAGGTCATCCAGCTACATGTAGTGGGGTTTTCAGTGTATTATCGAAGTCGGAGTTAGCAAGCCGTTCGGCGCTTGGAAGAGTTTCGTCGCGTGCCTTCAGATGGCGAAGCCCCCGCCATTTTCAGGGTCATTCAAGATATTCGAGTTAGATGGAGTTAGGTGGTGTTGCATGCAGGAGGCAGATGCAGCTTTTCGCATATCCGCCGAGATGCTGACAGAGCTGAGAAGCTGGTTCGACTGGGCTGTGCGGCAGTATCTAACCACCTATTGCAGCGACGGAAGAGAATTGTCAGAGGCTGCAGGCCAAAAATATGCATTTCTTTACTCGCAGAAAATAGCTGGTGGTGCATACGATGAGATCCTTCTTGCCAAGCTGGAAGAGGCTGCCAGCGCCAGATGGTTGGCGAAATGGAGGAACCAGTCGCGTCTTAGTTGCTCCAAGGCGTCTTCGGGGTCACAGACAGGTGAGCCTAGTCAGTGGCAGTGGTGGGGTTGGGCGACAAACGCGGCTTATGGGCCTTCTTTAGAAGCAGAGCCTGAAGCTCGAGATGCATGGATGGAGCCGGACGCATCTGACACCGTCCCTTCCGTGAGGGCTTTTCTAGATGAGGTCAGTGCGAGCGAGCCGCTACCCGAACTTGCAACACCGACACGCCTGGAAGTAGACATGCTGATACCACAGTACACCGCCCGCTGCATTGCCTCAGGCACGCCAACTTGCTACCCCGTGGAATAATGCTCGTTTCAGCATTTCTTCTCTGTCCCTGGCCAGGTGGATTGCTCACGGCTTCCGTCGGAGGGGTAGCGTTTTCCCTGGCCGTAGCTGCCGAGACAGATGGATCCGCCACATCTGCTTTGCAGCGGCGCATCTCCACGACCGTCAAGATCTCGTCAATGGAAGCGTGCTTGGACGGACAGCCTTTCGTACAGCTATTGCAAAAGCCGGGCGTGCGGGCACAGGCAAGATCTTTTGAGACAGAGGAGCAAGCTCGCAGGCGTGGTTGTTTGCGAAATACTTTCATGAGACGTCGAGTATCGCTTATGTCTTGTCATGCGAGGCTGGAATCCGGAGATGGAATGCAATTACGCTTGGTGGCAGAGGAAAAGCCAGGCATGCCGTGGGACGTTGCGGTGTCCTTGTTGGGTGAGCCAGTGCAGGCCGGGGTCCGGGGACTCGCCCACCGGTAAACAGAGGCTTAGAATGGGGTCTTCAGCATGTAGTGTACTGTAGTGACGGAGAGTGTTTTTCCCCCCCCTCTGCAGGTCCAGCTCGCCCCTTGGAGTTTGCACGGTGCTCTGCGGACGGCGCATGATGTTTGGAAAGCATGGCATGGCGGGGGCACGGACTCTGATCCGGGGTTTCCCGATCTTCTGGAGGTCCCGGAGGAGCCAGATCCTCTTGGCTCCACAATGGGCTTCGAGAATCTTGAGACTCGTTTGACCCTTCGTGTTGAAGTCGAGGCACCCATTCTGCGCTTGCAAGCTTGGGAAGATGGAGCTGCCCTCGAGCTGCATCTCGGGCGCTTTTTCAGCAGGTCCTTGGAGAAGCAGAGGCTGAAGGATTCACCCAATGCGCTGACTACTCTTGTTGACCAGGAAGCCGAAGCCATCAAGCCAACTGCATTGGCGAACTTTGCCGTGCTTTGCGAACTTCGTGATACCAGGCTCATCCTCATGGAGCCAGGGAGCGAGGATCGCAAGCCGTACGAGCCATCGACAATTGTTTTCGGGGCATTTCTTGACGAAAAGATCCAGCTGCACACGGAGGCTACCAAAATACGTCTACACATAGACCCCGTTCTAGTACATTTGCTCGGACAAATTCGGGGAGGCCTTGATTTTGCGGTGGCGCCTCTGTCCAAGGACTTTGTGGGAGCTTCGCCATCGTCTCCTTTATGGAGGCAGCCTCGCAAGCCCAAGAAAGCATCAACGTTTGTGGGTGCACCCCTGAGCTTTAGTCTCGCGACCAGTAGCCTGGACATCATCTGGGATCCTGAGGGTGGTCGCGGTGTACATGATGGATCAGTGAAGGGACATGTGGCTGGATTCCGGCTTGGTCTGGATGCAGATGCCGTTGGGATCAATCTTGCGAGCAGTGCGCAAGATGTTTGGCTCGATTGTGGAGACCGGAGGTTTCTTTCCAGCCTGGGGCATGTGGATCTTACGGCAAAGTATTTGCTGGATGCTGTTCGTCTCCAAGTCTTAGCCCCACCTTTGGAGCTTCGTTGGGCAGCTGAGTCCGTCAGGAAGGGACGGGCTGCCTGGGAAGCCGTCCAAGTGCATTTGCAGACCGGGCAGCACGAGGCCTTGCGAAGGTGTGAGAGAACAACGACAACGCGCAGCGAGCTCACGGAGCTCAGCGAGGTCAGTGTGTCCCGTGCTTTGTGGGATCGCTTTGTGGCGGAACGGACGGAAGAACTGCGGGGTGCCTGGGATCAGGCCTTCACCAACTTATCTGAGCACTCGATCTCGAGCTCTGGCAAGCCCGTGTGCGTGGATGTCTGTTTAAAAAGCGAAGAGCTACGTGCTGTTGTGCTGCGGCCGGGGCTGTCGAGTCGCGAAGACGCAGAGGAGATCCGAACGACAATTCTTGGCATGGAATGTCGCTTGACACGCCAAGAAGAGCTGCAGCTGACCTCGACCCTTAGCAGTTTGGAGGTTTGGTTGGGAACGCGCCTTCTCCTGGCCCCACCGCAATCAGACCTCCCTCTCCTTCATGCAAAGGTCTCGCGCCGCCCGAGGGGCCACATCGACGTCGACGTGACATGGGCGCAAATTGCGCTTGTCTACCGCCAGCGGGACTTCGAGAGGATGGCAAGCTTGTGTCATCAAGAAATGTCTGCAGCGGACCTGTCCCAAACGAGCGATTCTGCAGAGGTCAGGAAGCCGGTGCAGGATATACCAACAGCATCTGCCATCGGAGAGGGAGAAGAGCCAGAGGCGCAGCGCAGCAAACTTCTGAAGTACTGCTTCAACATCGATGCTCCTTTGCTATTCCTCCCGGCCAGCACGGGAAAGAGATGTGATGTCGGAGCGCTGTCTGACCGTCGTGGTGGTCTAAGCACTGATAGGAGTCTATCTCAGAGGACTTTCCTACCGCTGCCCGACGAAGGTTTTGGTGTTCTGGATCTGGGCAACTGCTTGGTTGAAAATGACACTGAACAAGCACATGATCCAACAATCCGTGTCCTGCTTCGGAGACTGCAAATCTTTTCGGTGGCGTCGAAAGACAGGGACAAGCATCAGACCTGGTATCAAGTGTTGCAGCCCGTGACTGCGAAGGTGGAAGCGCGAAGCTGCGCTGACTGCTTGGACATCGTGGTGCATGTTCCCCTTCAGTCTGAATGTGTCCCGGCGGCGTGTCCAGACCCACTTCGGCCAGCTGCGAGCTCTCTCTCTCCTCTATCCAGCATCAACCTGGTCAACCTGACACGTGCACAAGCTACCCAGCTCTTCGATGTCCTGTACCTCAACCTCACGTATGCTTCAGCTGATGAGGCAGCTCGGTGCAAGTCAGAAACTGTTCTTCGTACTCCTTTGTGGGCTCACACCTGTCAGGTTGAAACGCTGAAAGCGAATCTCAAGTCACGTCTTCAACAGGAGGCAGAGCGCCTGACAGAGTCCAGAGGCTTCCGGTTTAAACTCGCGTGGACAGGGTCGCTCGTCGTCGACGCTGGATTCACCTTGTCCTCACCGTTGGCCCGATTGGAGATGGCAAATGGATTCTTTGAGTTCCGGCGTCCTTTCTCGGAGGGCGAGAGTGTCGAGCGCTTTATTACCTTCGCATGTGAAGGTGGTTGCGTCAAGGACGCTCGGAAGGGACAGTCGAGGCTCTTGATTGACCTGCCGCGTCTGCCACACCATGGTCTCCAGATTTCAGCAAAGCTCCCAGCCGAGCAAGACGGCATTACCTGCTTGGATGTGAAGCTGCATCAGTGCCCCGCCCGATTGGTAGAAGCAGCATGTCAGCAGATGCCAGTAGAACAGGCGAGACACAGTAGTTTCGGCACGGATTCGATGTTTCGCCTTGTGGCTCTTGAGGCCCAACGTGTGGCTTCTTCCGCAGCTGTGGACAGACCTCCTCACATGGGCAACGTCAGTTTACCAGCAGAGCGCGCAAGCCGATTGCATTGCGGGTCCCGGCGAGGGATCCAGAGCTCAAACCATTGAGGCATCTGAATCAGCTAGTTTATGGTTTCGCATGTTTGGCACAGCTTGCATTGTCAGTCACAGGCCTTACCAATGCCTAGGCCATCCTTCTACCTATCTTCGGAGGAAGGATCTTTATAACTTGTTTACTATGCTTCTCTATTTCCGATTCCGAGCGCCCTTCTCTCTCGCCACAACAGGTGCATGTCCAAGACGGGGCTGTGAGACTTCCCATCGCCTGGGATGTCGAGCACTTTGCGTTGGTTGGAGATGTGCTGCTGTCCATGAGGTCTACTGGGGACAAGTTGACTTTCGAGAGGCTGGAACTGCCCAACGCTCGGATCCTCCGTGTCAGCGACAGCCAGACTGCAAGCCGACTGCTTTGCGAAGATGCCACCTTCTTCGCGAAGATTGCCAATGAGAAACGGTCCGCTGCTGGTGTGCGGCTCAATGCTTATTCGGCAGAGATTGTCAAGATTGGACCCATTGAGCTTCGACTCACTCTCCAAGATGTCCTTGAATTGTCAGACATGCTCAATGCCGTAGTCGCCATGGAGGCAGACACATCAGAGCCCGAAGAGGAGATTCGATTAAGAGATCCACTGTCGTTGGTCCAGCGCCAGAAGATCAGTCTTGATGCTTCGATTGAGATCGATGGAATCCAGTTGCGACTGCTGGCGCCCCGGCCGGTGGTCGAGTTTGCTTTGGGATGCCCCCTTCTACAAGTGCACATGCAGTCGTCGCAGGGCCAGAAGCCTATCGGATCGATTTTGCTACAAAGCCTATGGCTTCGCATTGCTGCCTTGAATGAGCGAATTGCAGCGTGGGAGCCTATACTCGGCAAGTCCACATGGAACGTGGACTTCTCCAGCGCTGTTTCTGGCACACACCCTGAGGCCAAGATGGAGCTCCACGCTGCCCCCTGTTCCCCGATTCAGCTGGCGGTGACAGTTCCAGTGATTCGAGCTTGCTCTAGGCTGGCGCAGAGTTACGATGATGCGGTACAAGCAGCCGCGAAGCTCAAAGGAAAGCGCTGTGAGCCGAGACTTGCGAGTGAGAGCACGAAAGAGAAGTTCGAGGACACGGTCTTTGGGCTGAACTTGACTGGCCTGAAGTGTCTGGCGACTCCTCTCTCCTTCACCGACGATGTGCACCACTTTTTGACTTCTGATGACCAGTCCAAGGCTCTAGCGCTGACTGCTGAGCCGCAAGGTCTGGATCATCTGTTGTCCTCGAAGGAGCTGAAGACACTGCATTTGCAAATTCCGGGCCTTGTTGGAGCCCCCAAACAGGTGAAGGTAAAAGCCGGCGAAACGACTCTCTGGCACACTAGCATGGGTTGCTTGGTGGTGAGGGTGCTGGTCACTTGCCCACCACAGCTACTTCTGGTGGTTTCTTCTTCATTCATGCTCGTGAACCGGACGCTTCTAGATCTTCATGTCAGGTTGCTCGGTTGTGAGAGGAGCGGGAGCGGCGGGAGCGGCGGGAGCGGTGGGAGCGGTGGGAGCGGGCACGGGGCTGGGCATGCTGGGCGCTTGTGGCCGGCTTTCTGCATTCCGACAAAGCTCTTGGAGCCGAGTGGACCAGCGGTTCCTTTAGAGCTAAGCACTCTAAGCGCTCTGAGCTCCGAGTCCGAGGAAGCCGAAGTGGAAGCCAGCTCCTTGTTCTTGCCTTCCAGTTTCTGTCTTGCTTTGCTGCCTCAGATGTTGAAGAATGCAAACGCATCCTTCCAGCTACGGCCCTCTCCGGCTGCGGTGGGCGGAGTTTCTTTTTCCTGGGGGGCCCCGATTCATCCGAATCAGTTTGCTGACTGCCCTGCATTGTACTCTCGTTCCGTCGCCTCAGATTTCAACTTGCCAGTCTACGGCCTGAGACTCTCGTTGGACAGCCAAGCACCAGGCGCGTCGATGCAAGGCATGCGCCAAGTGGATGTGAGAGCTCCGTTCAGTCTTTTCAATGCTTGCCCTGTGAATCTCTGCTACGAGTTACGATGGCTATCAACTCAAGAGGGCTCCTGGGCACCACAGCAGCTGCAACGTACAACAGATTCTTGTGAAGCGAATGAAACTCTTCACATTCATGACGGCTACGGCGGCCTTTGGGAAGTACCTCCGAACGGCTTCGTTCTTGTCGCGCCTTTGCTCTTGCGCCATCGAAGCTTCCAGTGGTGGGCTGGGAACCGCAAGGAGCAGCAGGATTGTCCCAAAGGAACAAACATGCTGGAAGTTGAACGCAATGGACAGCGAGTAGAGTGGCGCTTCTGTGGGGCGAGAAGGGGAAGTGTGGAAAAGCATCAGCCCTTACGCCTGTCACCAGGGGATGAGGTTCCCATCTACGACTTGCCAGAGCAATTTGGTGCCGCTCAGAGTGGTGGTGTACTACGACAGGCTCTCCATCGCAACGACACGAACTTGCCGCCTCTCCTTCTTGCTGTCGCGCTGATGGACAGGAGCACCGGGAAAAAGTCAGCATGGTCTTTGGTCACTCCGGTACTTGTTGAAGGCAGTATGGCCTCTGTGCCTTTGGATCTGGGCAAAGGGCTTTGGTTGCGGTGCGCACGACGAACAGGGCAGTGCCAGGCTACTGTGTTTGCAAACTCCTGGTTCAACGATGCTACCGGTCTGGGTGCCGTCGTGCTGCGAGGGAGACAGCCGCTACCTGTGTTCAACAGCCTGGCTGTGATGGATGCAGAAGCATGGGGTGATGATCTGGAGGAGGATGAGGACAGGTCGTTCTTCTCTGTGACAGCTTCCGCTGGCTGCCGGCCTATCCAATTGCCCAATGTAGGAGTTGGCCAGTCCGTGAAACTGTGCCTGACAGATTTGCACCGCTGTATCCTGAAGAGCGAGCGGATAAGCTTGTCAGGCTGCCATGCAGCAAACCCTACCTGGGGCTCTACCCTGGTCACACTCATGCCTGCTCTGCTCGTTTTCAACACATTGGAGTGTGATTTTGGCATCAAGCAGGAAGGTGCCCAGAACATCCTGTGGCTAGCGCCGCTTTCGCAAGCTTCCTTCTATTGGTCGGAGGCCAATTGCCCTCGACGCGTACAGGTGGCTCTTCGGAGAACGAGGGAGGGTGGTGACCTGGCTAGTGGCCGTGGTGAGCTGGTCTGGTCTGCCTCTTTTGACGTCTCCGAACATGGGCTCGGGGCCTTCCCTATAGTTCTTTCAGACACGAGGCTTAAGGACTACCTGTTCTGCATACAGGTCAGCCAATGCTCCGGACAGCTTATCACGATTACGGCCGCGGGATCGCAGGCTTGCCATCAACTCATGAATCGGCATCCGTGCCTGATGGTTGACCTTTCGTACGAAGGCATTGCAGATGCAACAGACTGCACTTCCCATTTCGTGGCAGTGCACGGTACTCGAGTTGCATTTGGCTCCTCCGGTATACGCCCGTTTCAATTGAACGGGTCCGTCACATTAATCATGGTGGATATCCAAAGCCAGAAGACCTCGTGTCTTACTCTGAGGCTGAACTGCCCCGTGAGCCGAACCTTGGAGCCATCTTCCGAGTTGCCTATACCAGTATGCATTCGGTTGGAAGTGGTTGACCGAGTGGCTCATATCTCGATTTCTCCTGTCAGCGTTCTAGGAACCCTTAGTGGCGAAACTTCTTCTCCTCTGCTGTGGACGTTGGACATCGACATCCGTATTCCAGCCCTTGAAATAGGGATCATGAGCAGCAAGTCTTCGCATGGAGAGACGTTGCGATGTGACCTATCGAATTTGAGTTTGAGGTGCAGCCAAAGGAACGGCACCCGCACCTCTGTCATAGAGCTCGTTGCGTTGCAGATCGACCACCATCCAAGATCAAAGCGGAAAAGTTCTCAAGGAGCATCGGTCGTAATTGCATCCTTGGACCAAGGCCACCCGCGGATTGAACGAGAGAAATTAAGTGGCACCGATGTTGCACTCCGCTCCGTGTGCCTGGAGTTCTTCCCTGCACCTTGATTGCCGTAGAAAGTTATCTGCGTTTTAGTCGGTATCCCAAGTTAGCAAACCCCAGCCCCAGGCACAAGAGACAGAAGAAGTCATCTTGGAATGCAATGCATCTGAAGAGCTGCTCGGAGAGCTCAAGGATCTTCTTAGCGAGGCGACACCACCACAGCTCGAAGGACTCAGCCTGATTGATATTGCTCGTATTGCGGGCCATACGTATCATACCACCTTGAACGAGCAGCCACAGCCAGCGAGGAAATACATACTGCAGGATGTTCAATGCGGGGACTTCAAGATTGGCATTTGGTGCAAGCTGAGTAGTGCTAGCCTGCCAGGTGTGATCAGCACCATGCTCAAAGTCAGCAGCTTCTCGCATACGCTTGAAATCGGGGGTGCCCGCGTCAAACTGCCAAGGCAACGATTCTTCAGCAGTGCGAACCCTTTTGAGGGATCGCTTGAGGCGCTGGCAAACCTTCTGGTCGAAAAGTACAAGCCCTTTGTCTCGAAGTCATGGCGATCAATACTTAACAATTCGAACGCCGTGCTCGGGGGGTTCTTCAGTCGCTACACATGGGCTCCACGACAACGCAGAATCGAATCACCGAAGCCGTCCTCAATGCTGCTGCTGCTGCAGAGCGGCATTGTTAAGCTTCGAGGAGAGATCGAAAGAACGGAGGTCAGTCGAGCTCGTAAAGCTGCAAGTGATCTCCCTCTGGACGGAACTGGTCTGGCATGTGCGTTGCAAAGCCGCAGCGTGAAGCAGGTCCAGACTTTCGTCAGGCACCAGACGGTTCACAGGATTTCCCTGCCGAGTTCAATCATGTTGTGCTTAATAAATCTGACAGGGTGCTCGTGGAGATGCTTGGTGGACAAGTGACTGATGAGCATCGCTGTGCCCAGTACTGCGAGTCCTTGCTAGGTGGGAGCTTAGAGTGTGCATGGAAAAGTCAGATGTGCCAAATTTGCTGTCGCGAGCTTCTCAGCAGGTGCAAAGCAAGTACAGTTGGACCAGCTGGTGGAGTTCATCACGTCCAAGCAGTGCGCTTGGATCTCGTAGTTCTTAACGTTTTGACATGCTTTGACCCACTTACGTGACCCACTTACGTAGTGAAGAACGATTGCATCCTAAACAGCCTTAACATGAAGAAATGACCCGAAAGGAAAGGCTTGCTTGCCAACTCCAAAGGAGCTGCCAGCAGGGGCAAGCAGCTTGTACATACTGCCTGCTGAAGTGCGTGCTACGCAGCTGGACAGTGCATAGACCACGTAGATGAACTTGCAAGGTGTGCCGATGTACTATATACTGTTTGCCCAGGGAAGTTTCGTCAGCGCTTTTACTGTGCATGTCGGGGTAAGCGCCTGAGATCTTGGCAATCCTGCAAGTTCTACCAGCACATCGCTATGTCTTCAATGAAAAGGCAGTATTGCTAGGGCAAGCATCTTGTGCGATAAATGCTGCTTGCATTGCTAGCATGGCTGACACGCATCAACTGTATAAATTGATGCCAGACGACATGGTTCAAGCGTTTTCAGCCAGGGCCAAAGTGAACTCGCTGACGCGCTGCCATGTACGATAATGACCCAGACTACTATGGAGGACGGCCTGCTGCCTATCCCTGCATGTACTCGTAGCTTTGCAGGTGCTCCTTGCCTTTAGTTGCAACCTGTTCGGCAAGGACCAGACTACGAAGGACGGGAAACGGCCGGTGGGAAAATGTCGGCGTGAACCTCAGTGCAATTTTCTGTGACCTGACAACTGCACTCATTGAAGCCAGGCCGCGTTTGGCTCGTTGTGCCTGGGCATAGTTCTGTTCCCAGTGTCGCTGGCGGTGCTGGGGTACCCATCCCAAGTCCTTTGGCCGGGGCTGGTCCTTCGCATTGAAAGGTGCTGCAGCCCTCTCCAGGTACAATGAACAGCTCTACATGTGTACGCACAAGAACATTCTCTACGCCCAAAAGATGGCGGAGGCTGCGTATCCGAGTTGCAGTTAAAATTTTTGCGCCTGCCACTGGAGGTGATAAGCTGCAATGAGCAGCAAAGCTTTTTTCCAGCTCCAGCTTCAGATAGTGGCATCAGTCGTGCCGAGATAATCTGATTCGAGACATTCTCGTCTTTCGCAGCCTTAGGACATGGTTGTTTATCTGGCCTGCCCCATTCACGAGGACGATGCTAGGGGAAGTACTCGCGGCATCTCGTATTTGGCCTGCACCATTCGAAGTTTCGTGTGCTCCAAGAGTGAGGGCACAGGCGTTTGAAGTCTTTGTCCTCACCCTCGGCTTCGCGAGGCTCATATGGGCCTGACCCAGCCAACCCTCGCACACGGTCCCTGGGCCATGTTCCACAGAAAACAAACAAAGTCGACGTCTAGATATTCACGCAAGATCAAGGCGAATACATAGGTCAGGTACGATGCGGACGTTCAGTCTCTTGAGCTAGACCTTGAGAGACGTGAGAGTGCATGGCATGCAGGCTGGATTTCTGAAGCAAGTCGTAGCCAGCTATGCTCACTTTCTGTTGGGGCGTCTCTGGTTTTGCATCGCTAGTGGAGGAATGAAGCTAGCAGTCCTCGAACTTTGCTTCGCGCTTTGCAGGACAGCCTCCATGTCTACACTCCTGCATCCTTTGGATCCAGTGGCCTGGGACAGTCCATCACTTTCAGGTCCGGCTTCTTATTAGTGCTTGAACTCATGGACTGGGTTCCGAAAGAGCCTTCTTCAAGGTCGTCGGCAGGTGCGCAGACCGCTGAGATGTATCAATGCGTGGGGCCCTCGCGTCTGTGAAACAAGCCATCTTGTACTCGAGCGATTGATTCAACAACTTTGATCATGCTTTTGCGGGGTTGGCTCGCCTGTCCTCGACCGCCTTTCCCTTGCAGGTGGAATCTTCGCACGAAGAGAAGTGCGGAAAAGACGAAAAATGTAGAGTGCATGACCCGGTTTTTGGATGTATGAAATTACTTCGACTTCGTCTCATCCTGCAACTTGCTTCAGGCCTACAGTTATAAAATGGAATGGTTACGCCATCCTGTGGATTCAAATTCATTCTCTATGACGTATCACTGGCATGTTTGTTTCGTCAAGCTCGCGAGTTTCCCCGCGTGTTGAGCATATCCACCTCAGGAGCATTCAAACTCTGATGGCAAGCAAGAGCATGGGACACCCTCATAGCATGCACAGTTTGGAAATGAATTCGGGGGGCTGTCCTTAGCATGCTTAGCTCTCTACTTGGGTCGATGTCCTTGCCGCCTTCGCAGTATTTTCAGGCAGTCTGCAGAACGGTGCCCACTGGTGAAACCTCTTCGGATGTTGCTCGCTACTTTCGTGCTACTCGAAGCTTTCGGGACCGAGCGCAAGGGGCCACACCCATTGGAACAGGGGCCGCTCTGCAGCGGAGGTCACGAAAGCTAGCTCTTGAGGAGCTTGCGCGAGTTACAGGTAGATCTATCTTGCACCATGCTATGCATACTTATGCATCACTCGCGTCCACTCGCAGAAATCAGGTTTCAAGCTAGACTGCATGGGTTAGACATCGATAGACATCGTGCATGCTCACGGTTTTGGGGACATGTTTCCGAAGCTGACGCCACAGAAGCGTCACCTTGCTGGGGATTGGCCTTTGCGGGGCCCCCGTCAATATACATACATACGAGATAGCCTGGGCCTGCAGGAGCAAACCCGTGGGGTGAAACCGCCAAGCCACCGAGCCGCGAGCAGGCCATCAAAGCCGCCAGAGAGCCAAAAGCCGCGAAGGCCTAAGAGCCGGCAGAAGCTACGAAATCAGAAGCTGCAGCGCATAAGCTCTGACAAAACCGCCGTTTGGCATCAGAGCACTATCCCGGTGCCAGAGGTAGAGCGTCACGCGTTAGGGACCATCTGCGCCAGAGCACGTTTTTGCGTCAGGGAGGTGTCCATGCATAAGCCCGCAATTCGCAACGGCTTGAAACAACGAGACGATGTGCAGAGGATGCGAGGGAACCGGTGGGACAGGAGGGGCTTGGGGATGATCCGCTAGCCGTTTGTATGATGTAACATAATGGAATTGAATAGAATGTAGCACAGTGCACATCTAGAGAATATAGTAGAATATGGCAGTAGAATGTACTATAGTATCACATTTCCAGTATATGGGCGTAAAATGCAGAACGAAGCAATACAATAGACTCTAGTATAGCGTAGCATAGTGCAATTAGTGCAATAAGCAATAGTTTGTAATTCTGCTGTATCAAGATACAACCTACATGCAACATGATATAAAGCATATAATCTCATGTGGTACAAAACGTCGCATCATGTCATATCATATCATATCATTTTCTTGGCATGTCATGTCGTACCATGCCATGTCACATCATACAACATTAGATTAGATAACACCATGCAATATCTCACAGTATGGCATATGGTCGAATGATATGATATAACCCCCATATGCTATGCCAGTATCAGTCAGTCATATACAGTATCGGATAGTTTCATAGCGTAGTTTGTATAGTTGCATATATATACACACACACATGTATATCGTATGATATACCATAACAGAGCATAGTCGTCATAAAGATCACTCATTAACATATATGTATATAATATGTTTATGTATATGCATATATGTTTATGTATTTGCACATGTGTATACATATATATATATACACACACACATAGATTCGTTCATATCGTATGATATACCAGAACAGAGCATGACAGTGTGCTTGTAGGTTTTTAGATCCCTGGCTTTAGGGCTTCGGGTTCTTGCGTTCAAGGCCTGTGTTTTGTTATTCAGTGTTCAGGGCGTAGTAGGGCTTGTTGGTTAGGGCTTATGGTTCTTGGGTTTAGGTTTAGGGCTGAGAGTTCATGGGTTTAGGCTTAGGGTGCTTGGGTTTAGGGTTCTCGGGTCTCGGCTTTAGGGCTTACGGTTATTGCTTTCAGGTTTAGGGAGTCTGGGGTTTATGTTTCTGCGTTTAGGGCGTAGGGCTATTGGGTTTAAGACTTAGGGCCGAGGGTTCTTGGGTTCAGGGTTCAGGGCTTAGGCTTAGGCTTCCTGCGTTCAGGATTTAGGGTTGTAAGGTGTAGGGCTCGTGAAGTTAGGGTATAGGGCTCTTGGTCGAGGGTTCGGGACTTAGTAGGGTTCGGCTTTTTTTGGGTTTGGGGCTCTGGGGTTGTTGGGCTTCAGTCATGTTTTGCTTAGGGCTCAGGTTTAGGGTTTAGAGCTTAAGGTTGTTTTTGCTTAGGGCTCTGGGGTTCTTGGGTTTAGGGTTTAGGGCTTAAGGACATTTTGCTTAGGGCTCTGGGGTTCTTGGGTCTAGGGTTTAGGGCTGAAGGTTTTTTTGGCTTAGGGCTCTGGGGTTCTTGCTTAAAGTTTTGTTTGCTCAGGTCTCTGGGGTTCTTGGGTTTAGAGTTTAGGGCTAACGGCTCTGGGGTTCTTGAATTTAAGGATGAGGGCTTGAGCTATTTGTTGCCTAGGGTGCAGGCTTCTTGGGTTCAGGGTTTAGGGCTTACGGTTGTTTTGCTTAGGGCTGTGGGGTTCTTGGGTTTAGGGTTTAGGGCTTCAGCCATTTTTTGCTTAGGGCTCAGGCTTCTTGGGTTTAGGGTTTAGGGCTTAAGGTTGTTTTTGCTTAGGGCTCAGGCTTCTTGGGTTTAGGGTTTAGGGCTTAAGGACATTTTGCTTAGGGCTCTGGGGTTCTTGGGTTTAGGGTTTAGGGCTTACGTTTTTTTTTGCTTAGGGCTCTGGGGGTTCTTGTGTATGGTTTAGGGCTAATGGCTCTGGGGTTCTTGAATTTAAGGATTAGGGCTTGAGCTATTTGTTGCCTAGGGTGCAGGCTTCTTGGGTTCAGGGTTTAGGGCTTACGGTTGTTTTGCTTAGGGCTGTGGGGTTCTTGGGTTTAGGGTTTAGGGCTTCAGCCATTTTTTGCTTAGGGCTCAGGCTTCTTGGGTTTAGGGTTTAGGGCTTAAGGTTGTTTTTGCTTTAGGGCTCTGGGGTTCTTGGGTTTAGGGTTTAGGGCTTAAGGATATTTTTTGCTTAGGGCTGTGGTCTGGGGTTCTTGGGTTTAGGGTTTAGGGCTTAAGGTTGTTTTTGCTTAGGGCTCTGGGGTCCTTGGGTTTAGGGTTTAGGGCTTAAGGTGTGTGTCTGTGTGTGTGTGTGTTTTTTTTTTTTGGCTCAGGCTTCTTGGGTTTAGGGTCTAGCGCTTAAGGTGTTTTTTGCTTAGGGCTCTGGGGTTGTTGGGTTTAGGAGTTAGGGCTTAAGATTTTTTTTTGCTTAGGGCTCTGGGGATATTGAGTTTAGGGTTTAGGGCTTAAGGTTTTTTTTGCTTAGGGCTCTGGGGTTCTAGGGTTTAGGGCTTAAGGTTTTTTTTGCTTAGGGCTCTGGGGTTCTTGTGTATGGTTTAGGGCCTAAGCTATTTTTTGCTTAGGGCTCGGGCTTCTTGGGTTTGGGGTTTATGGCTTAATAAGTTTTGTTTTCTTAGGGCTTAGGCCGTTGGCTTTAGGGTTCAAGGCTGAGTAGGGCTTGGGGTTCTTGGGTCTGGGGTTAAGGTTTCTTGGTTGGGTTCAGCTTGTTGGGTTTGCGGCTTAGGTTTCTTGGGAATAATGGTCAGGGTTCCTGGGTTTAGGGCTTCTGGTTCTGGAGTTAGGGTTCTCGGGTTAAGTTTAGGGTTCGGGGGTTGCGGTTCTTGGGTTTAGGGTTTAGGGCTGAGGGTTCCTGTTCTTGGGTCTAGGGTTTAGGGCTTACGGTTCTTGCATTTGTTGTTTTGGGTTCCTGGGTTTAAGGCGTAGGGCTTTTGAAGTTAGGGCTTAGGGTTCTTGGTCGAGGGTTTGGGAGTAGGGCTTGGGTTTCTTGGGCTTGGGGTTCTGGGGTTCTGGGGTTCAGGGTCTAGGGATTTTTGTTTTTCTTGGGTTGTGTTTGCGGGTGATCAATGACATCCTCTGTCCCTTCGCAGGAGTACCACATAGGTTCCCATCTCTCTGCCAGTTCTTGAGGGGGGGGGGTCTGGACATGGCCCATTTTTTCCATCAGTTACCAGTTGCACCATCGCAGGGGCCAGGCACAGCAAGCCCGACAGAGCGGCTGCCCTGGCTTCCAAGGCCGGGAGGGGCTCGGGCTGGGCCCACAGCAGCCGATTTTTGCCAACGCACTCCAAGGCAATCCGCCTTGGCCTCACGATGTCCTTCCCACCGTGGAGACGAGTTGGGTCAACACCCGAGAGCTTGCTACACCAGATTACCTGTCGGCACCCAATCAACCAGAGTGAATGACTGATTGAATGAGTGAATGAATGAATCGATCAATCAATCAATCAATCCATGAATCCACGGATCAATAACATCATCGATCCCTCAGTCCATCGATCCATTGGTTCATCAAATGTCTATACATATACATATAGACATATTTAAATGCAAATGTCTCCCTAGTTTGGGCGTGCGTCCAAACCGTATCGTTATATCGTATCTGAACCCGTATCCGTAACCGTAAATAATTATTTCCTGTTTTAGATGCCTGTGGCTGGTTTCGCACTTCATAACCATAGTTGCAGACCGTGAAAAAGGAGTGCTTCGCGCATCTTCGATAATGCAAAAACTTAATGCAAAACCTTGCTTGATCCGATGAACAACAACCTGTGCGAGGACTTCCTCTTCCTGTGCATCATCGAGCTTCTTCCTTGTTTAACAACTTTTAAAGTTTTTTAAAATATTTTTACACACTTTTGAAAACCTTTATTCGAAGTTTTTAAGGGTTTTTACAAGACTTTTTTAACAGCTTGTAAAAACTTGTTGAAACATTACAAACTTTTAGAAACGTTTACAAAGTATTTTTTGCTTAAAACACATATCAGAACTTTATTTGCTCGCTTTTGTCTTTATTTGTCTGGATTTGTGTCTATTTGCCCGGATTTGTGAATTGTCTGTCTTTTTTTGTCATTTTTTGACTCACTATTTGTCTTTATTTGTCATGTTTGCCTTGACTGTCGAAAAAGCCCTGGGCATCTACTCCCTGTGGTTCTGGACCCTCACAAACGGTCAATGACTAAAGGGTGTTCGGTGGCTGACTGCCGGAAGCCTTCAAAAATTTACAAGCTTTATAAACTTTGTAAACTTGATAAATTTTATTAGCTTATAAAGTTTGTAACCTTTGGTGTGCAAGGAAAAGTTATGATCTTTATGAACTTTATAAACGTCCAAAGCGGTTCGGTGGCTGGCCAGCTGAAACCTTCAAACAGTTAGAAGCTGTTTATAAATAAGCTTTTGTAAATTTTATGAATTTGATACCTTCTGGTGTGCAAGGAAAAGTTATGCACTTTTAAATTTTATAAACGCCCAAAGGGCTTTCGGTGGCTGGCTGCCGGGAGTCCTCAACAGTTATACGCTTTACAAATTTTCAAATCTTTATAGACTTGGTGTGTTTATAAAGTTTATGAAGTTTGTATCTTTTGGTGTGCAAGCAAAAATTGTGAACTGTATCAACTTTACGAACGTCTAATGGGCTTCCGTGGCCGGCCAGCGGAAAGATTCAACAACTTAAAAACGTTGTAACTCCCATAAACATTATCAGTTCGTAAAGTTTATACAGTTTATAACTTTTCCTTGCACACCAGCAGTTATGAACTTGATATAAATTCATAAAGTTTTTTGAGTTGATAAAGATATGAGTTCATAAAGTTTTTAGAGTTGATCAAGATTACAAAATTTATAAAGTTTATAACTGTCTGAAGGTTCCCGGCAGTCAGCCGCCCAAAACCTTTTGGACGCCTATAAAGTTCATAAAGTTCACAAGTTATCCCTGCACACCAAAGTTATAAACTTTATAAACTCAGAAAGTTTAGAAAGGTTTTAAAGTGTTAAAGCTTCTAAAGTTTATAACTTGTTGAGGGTTTCCGGCAGTCAGCCACCGAAAACCCTTTGGACGTTCTAAAGTTTTTAAAGTTCATAATTTTTCCTTGCACACCCAAAGTCATAAACTTTATAAATTCAGAATCTATACAGTTTAAAATGTTGATTAAGATTGTTTAAGTTCTGGAATGTTTCGACTGGCCAGCCACCGCAGACCTTTAGATGTTGATACAGTGTATAAAGTGTATAAAGTGTAAAAACTTTTCCGTGCGTGCCAAAAGCTTTAAACTCTAAACTTTGTAAATGTCCAAAGGGTTTTTGTTGGCTGACTGCCGGAAACCTTCAACAAATGATATATTTCATAAACTTATCAAATTTCTAAACTTTATAAAATTTATAGAGTGTAAAGTTTTGGTGTGCAAAGAAAAATTGTAAAGTTTATAAGCTTTTTAAAGTCATGAAGTTTATAAAGCTGGAAAAGTTGATAACTTTTTGAAGGTTTCCGCTTGTCAGCAGCCGACAACCATTCAAATTATAAAGCTTTCAAGTTTATAGCTTTTCCCCGCGCACCAAAAGCATCAAACGTAATAAACTTTACAAACGTTATAAACTCATACAGCTCATGAAATTTATAAGCTTTATAACTTTTTGAAGGTTTCCGGCAGTCAGTCACCGAAAACCATGTTGACGTCTACAAAGTTTATGAAGCTCATAACTTTTCCTTGCACACGAAAAGTCAATAACTTCATAAGTTTTATGAACTCACACAGTTTATAAAGCTTTAAAATTTGATAACTTTTTGAAGGTTTCGGCTGGCCAGCCACCGAAGCCCCATAGACGTTTATAAAATTTTCCGTGCAAGCCAAAAGTTAGAAACTTTGTAAATTGTACAGACTTACTGTATAAATTTTATGGACTCAGAACGTTTTTAAGTTTTATAGCTTTTTGAAGGTTTCCGCTGGCGAGCAACCGCAAACCCTTTAGATGTCCCTTTAGATGTTTATAAGGTTTATAAATCTTATAAGCTTTCCCCACGCACCCAAAGCTAAAACTTTGTAAGCTCATAGCGCCCATAAAGTTTGTAATTTTTTAGTTCACAATGAAAAACTCAAAATTATCAACTTTGCCAGCTGTATAGTGCCTTCAGTAAATTGTAATGAGAGCAAAGCAGTCACAACGACTGGTACAAGGAGGTCCTTTCTACATATATACGTATATATATATATGTATATGTATATAGGTATATATGAATGCACGTGTACATATGCGTTTATGTCCATACATATATGTATACCTAAATATATAGATAAATCTGTATGTCTATATATATAGAGCTATCTATGTACAACCTGGAGGTGGGAATGTATGAATGCTTGAATGTATATATGTATGTATGTATGCATGCATGTAGGTATGTATGTATGTATGTATCTATGCAGATGAACGGTGAAGGTTCCCACAAGGCTCGAGATGGCCCTGAAGCTGCAAGTCTTTCTTCCGTTCAAAGGGGGGGAGACTCTGTTGGTGCCTTACTTGGTCTTCAATTCGGAGGGCCGACGTTTGGACCCAAGCAGGATACCACGCCTCTCACCTTCGAGAGGCTAATGGAAGTTATAGCTGCGATGCAGAAGACTTCCTTGGACTCTCTGGCAGTGCTTCGCTTTCACTCCACGCAGAAGTGCACGGGCAAGATCCAAGGCCCCACACTTCCGTTCCTCCTCCAAGCAGGCAATCGCACGCCGGCGGCACTGGAGCTCTACGATCACCTCCGTCTGCTCACCAACTCCGCGGTTGGGCAGCTGATAGGCGGCTCTTTGCGGACAGAGAGAATGAGTCGCAGGCCCCTGGCCAACGAACTGAGCAAACTCCTCTAAAGGTCGTGAGAGCACTTCTTATACCGACTGCCTACACTAGTAAAAAAAGCAATCATTGTTATGCAATCGCCACCCTACAAGCCATTCACTGGCTGTGCTCCTTCTTGCCTGCGTCTCAGGCTACATGGACTTCTGCCATGCGTCCAGTCATGCAGCGAATGAGTCAGCAAGCGCGAATCCCAGACCTGTGGACCAAACTCTCATGGGCACTAGCACATTCGGGTTGGCAGCAGCCTCATCGGCAACACGATGTGGCTGAATGCCTGTCTTTCTTCAGGCGGTTCCTCCTTCCATATCTCACGTGCGGAGGCTGGCAACGTCGTCTTCTTCAAGATGCCCCACCTGCCCCACGATGCGAGGTCACAGACTGTGGGGAGACATGGTTTCTGTTCACATCGACGCGCATCCCTCAGCTGCAAACTGATGATACCTCAACTGTTCCGGTTCAACGACTTATCTCTGCTTGGCACAATGAGGCTGCCAATGGGGTTGTTGCCCTCTCCGAGGCACCGATTTTGCTTGCGATTCAGCTGAATCGCTGTAGTTTCCGTGCAGGCCCTGATGGACGGTTGAGCCCAGCTCCCGAAGCCGTCAAAGATAGCACTTCTATCAATCACTCTTGACCCTCGTATTGTCATTCCTTGCTTCACATCGGGAACACATCCCGAGCGTGCCCCACTGGCCACCTCGCTTCAATCATACCGTCTGCATGTTGTGATCACCCATCAGGGCCTTCATGTCAAATCCGGCCATTATAAAGTCTTCCTTACATCAGGTGGGCTGTCGATGACTCACTACCATTGCGACGACGACAAAATGTGGCGAACCGCCCTCCACTGTCATGACATGCGGTTACGTACTCTTGTACCATCGATGCAATTCCTGATGATGGTCACCGATGTGGGGCACTTGTGCCAGGCCGTGACAAATATCCACTTCATTGTGGTGCATCAGGACTTGTGCATAGAGTGGTTTGGATCTGTTCAAAGCAGAGCTCACCAGGAGCCGGGGTGGCCACCCGTCAGAATAGCCTCGCAATATGAAGGACCTTCTCTGCAGCGTCGGAAAGAAATCTATTTAGATGAAAAACGACTTGTAGATGTATACATATATATATACACATACATATCAAAACATATGTAGACATACAAGTACATAAATACAACAGAGATAAATGCAGGTATGTAGAAATGTAGATACATGGTTATGTAGACATATAGGTAGACAGGATATACAGATCTGTCTACATATACAAGAATGTAGACATATAAGTTTGTAGTTACTGAGGCTTATACTTATATAGATATGTAGATACATGGGTATGTGGGTATGTCGGTATACAGATGTACCCGTATACTGATACAAACATGCAGCGGTTTATAGAGGTTTGGAGATACAGACATACAGCTACAGGAGTGAACAAATATACAGGTCATCGTTAAACTTTGAACAGGTAGATAGATGAAAAAAGATGTAGGGATGTAGATATGTAAAAATATGGATTCAAAGAGATATAGAGATATACATGTCTAGATGTACAGAATTATAGGTATATGCATATATGTATATATATATGCAATCGTAAGTGTATCTAACTTTTTTTGAGAACTAAGTTTTTAGGTATATAAGCTCATGTATACAAATCTAAAGGTTTGTTGGTTTACAAGTATATTGATACATACATACAGATACATAGATATATAAGTATATAGATACGAAAATACATAGATATACGGATATATATATATAGATGTATCTGTATATCTGTATATCTATATATATATA